GTCCCACTTCTTCTTCAGCAGCACATCTCAACATCAGAGAAGATCTTCTCATTTTGTAGAGTTGGTCGGTTACCATTAGGTATCGAGAAGATATCCTCTTGATGCGCCGCACATAAGTCTCCTAATCTAATAACTTGTATTGAGTCAGATATTGAATGCTGGGTACCATCCATCCCCGTGAGTTCTCCAACACCACGATTTCCCCCATTTTCGTGCTTTTCGCTTCCAAAATTTTCTGGATCACTGTTCTATTTAACTAGGGGCCTTTAGTGCCGGCTAAACGGGCAAGCAGATCGACTATAACATTTTCTTCTCGGGGGATATGTTATATTTCAAATTTCATGAACCCCTAATCCAGTTACAGAGCCCGCTGTAGATATTTGAGTAATAATGGATCTTTTTTTTGATAGTCTCCTTTGACTTGATTAGAAATCAATTGCAAATTGGTGCGAACCAACAAATTGGTAACTTTGACTTCTTTAGCTAATCTCAAATCGAAAATCATGACCTCATATTTTGCCTTATTGTTGTTGGCTTAGAAATTAAAGCAGAGAGATTGTTCTAACACCAACTCCTATGGCCCCTCCAGTAATATTCCTGCTCCGCTACCTTTGAGGTTGGACGAGCCGTCTACTGATAGAATCCACTATTCGGGTTGATTCTTTTGGAGTGGACGAACTCAGCTCTATTAGAAAATCTGCCAATACTTGTGATTTGATACTATTCCTAGGTGTGAACATGATGTCGTACTTTTGAAATTCTACAACCCATGCCACAATCCTACCCGCCAAGTCCAACTTCTTCAGAATTTGCTTTATGGAGGTAGTTCGTCTTGACCATAATAGTATGGCCTTGAAAATACTGTCTAAGTTTCCTGGCGGTGATCACTAATGCCAGAGCTAATTATTCAATCTTTTAATAACAAATATTTTCTCCTTTGAGAACCTTGTTAACAAAGTAGATCGACATTTCACCTTCATCACTGTCTTGAACCAATACATAACTAATATCCTTGTCTGAGACAGCCAAATATATTGTAAAGGGTGAATTTTCCTTCAGACGAACCAAAGTTGGTGAGACGGATAAGAAATGTTTCAACTCCATAAACACTTTCTCACATTCTCCCGTCCACTAAAAACTTGGTGATTTCGTGATAGCTGCGAAGAAGTGGATGCGCTTATCGCCCGTGCAAGACATAAACCAGGACAGGGCAGCCAACCTCCTAGTCAGTTGCTGAACTTCTTTTAATGATGTCAGGCTTTTCATATTAATGATCGCCTGACACTTGTATGGATTATCCGCTATCCCCCAATGTGTCAGCATGAAACCCAAAAACTTGCCAGCTTGCACCCTGCAAGTGCACTTGTCTGAGTTAAGCCTCATGTTAAATTTCCTTATTGACTCAAATGTCTCTTCCGTGTATTTTACATGATATTTATCACCATGTCATTAACATATACTTCCAAGTTTCACCCTATCTGTGGTGAGAACACCATATCCATCAACCTTTGATAAGTAACACCAGTATTTTTAAGACCAAATGACATTACATTATAATAATAATTTCTTCTGTTGGCCATAAAAGTTTTTTTGGGAGGATCCACTGGGTTTATACATATTTAGTTATAACTTGAATAGGCATTAATGAAGCTGAGCATGCAGAAACCAGATGCCTTATCGATGAGTCTAAAGATGAGTGGCAATGAATAAAGATCCTTTGGGAAAACCTTGTTGAGCTCGGTGAAATCTATACAAATGCGCCACTTTTCAGATTTCTTTTTCACCATGACGACATTGGACAACCAGGTGGGGGATATTTTATCGTTGATGAAACCAACATTCAAGAGTTTTCCTACTTCCTCTATGTCAGCCTTTCTTGTCTCTTCTTTGTCTTTGCGCTATAACTTTCGATGATGGATTATTAAAAAGTTGATGGAACACGATATTTGGGTCGATCTCAAGCAAGTCCGAGGGTTTCCAAGAAAAGCGGTCGACACTGCCTCTCAATAACGTGATGATGTCTTCCTCTTCTTCTTGAGATAGTCCTGATCCTATACGCATGATCTGAAAATCCTCAGCACCAACTTGCACCTTCTTTAATTCTCCAACGGGGGTTAAGCTATCATCCGCCAGATCCTCCCGAGGGTCGACGTTAACCAGGTTCACCTTCAAGGGTATTTCAGTAATTGGGTTATCTTGTTGGGCCTTCGTTTTTAGCTTTAGGCTATCCTTGTAGCATTTTATTGGTAATCCCTGATCACCTTTAATTACCCTTACACACCCATCGTCTAGAGGGTATTTCGTGGTAAGATAAAGAGTGAACGTGCCGCCTCCAAAGCGTTGAACGCCGACCTTCCGATGATGAAGTTATATGGTGAGGATGCGTTTACTATCAAGTATCTCACATTAATGCCTTTGGCATTATCTCCACTTCATAAAACAATCATGATAGGAAAATGCCCTAGTACATGGATCTGTTCCCCGGAGAAACCAACTAGGGTGCCTTTGAAAGGTAATAGCTCGAAAATATCCATGTTCATGCCTTCGAAAGCATCTCAATATAGTATATCGGCAGAATTGCACAAGTCGATTAACACCCGCTTGAAACTCAAATCATGCATTTGTACTTTTATACCATCAGGTCATTCTCATGCGCTAGTACACATTCTGAATCTCGTCTCGAGAAGTTGATGACAACATGTCTTTCTTCCTTTTCTTGAAATAATTTCCGTGAAAGGTGCATTACTATCCAGGCGTATCTCTTTCTGGTTGAGCTTGTTTCACCACCACCAGTAAAATCTCTCGAGATGGTGTTGAGTGTATGGCGTGCTGTCCTAGTTTCACGCACCGGCTTGGTACTTTTTCCCTTCTTGGTGGAGAGGTTCTCTCTGAGGAGGACCTCTCTTTCTTGCTGATCCTTCAATATCCTTCATGTATGACAACAACCAGCCTCTTTGTATCAGGATCTCGATTTCTCTTTTTAGCTGATGACAATCTTCTGTATGCTGGCCTCTCAGACGATGATAAACACACCAAGCCTCCTCGTCTTTTCCCATTACAGTGTTGGCCCTCTTTGGGAGAATGGGTTCCAATATCATTTTGAGATGGTATACTTCACGTAGGATATTCGTGCGTTTTGAATTGAGTGGGATAAAGTTCTTGGCAAAGTTGTCGTATGGCCTTTGGGAAGGTTTTATTGCTGATTTGTTCCTCAACTCATGCTTGTGGTGATCTTTCCTTGACCTGAATATGTCATGCCTAGGTTGTAACTTCTCCTTAGCATCTTTTCTCCATATTTGTTTCTTCGCCTTTAAAATAACATTCTGCTCTATTCATTACTTCATCCATGGTCATGATCGACTTTTGCGCCAAAGACTCATTGAAATGGCCGACCTTTAGGCTGTTTTGGAAAGCTCCCACAAACATTTCTTAATTCGGATGATAAACTTTTATTGTGTCTTCTTTGAATTGCTCCTGACGGACGTTGAACAGGCTGGTGGTGGACACCTTTATATGCTTGTTGGCGGAAAAATGCTGCATTATCTTCCTGGTTAGATTCTGGTAACCGGTGATTGAGAATCTAGGTAAGCTCATGTACCAACATAAGACCACACCATTGAACGTCCCTTCCATGAGCTTACACTTTGAAGAGTCGGAAGCACCGACTATCGCCATTTGATTGTTAATTGAAATTATATGCTCACGTGGATTGCTTTTGCCATCAAAGGGTGGCAAATATGGTGGTTTGAAATTCTCTGGGACTTGATCGCTACAGATTGCTTGTGAGAGAGGTTGAGGATCCAGGAGTTCCTCTTCTACTTCCTCCTCCCTGATGCTTTGCGTTTGTTGAAGTGTGTGAACACTCTCTTGCAAGGACTGATTCTGCTAACGTAAATTCTCCGTAATTTTCAAATTTTGTCTCATGTTTGGTGGGGTGCGAGGTTCACTCCTGTTGGGAGACGATCTAGACATCGTGTTATTACAGTGTAAATGATGTTTTTGTGCAGATTGGAAAAGTTTTACCGAGGCCCCACGATGAGCGCTAAATGCTCCTGATAAACACTTTTGGATAATCTCCTTGAAGCGAATCAGATGAGATTACAAACAATGGAAATTGGGTGTTACTTGATTGCTTATGTATTTGCGCACTTTCCTCCTTTTCTCCTCAATGTCGAGTCGTTTTTATATCCATCTCACTTTCTGAGATCATTAAGTGCCTTCCCAAGTGTCATGATTAAATGATGATAATAAACCGTTGTCATCATTATCATGTAACGTTCTCTTTACCACTTTTTGTAATTCCTATGTAACTATGAAACTACTTTATAGCCGTTACACCGATTGTTCACACCGTCCGTAATCGTGTCTCCGATAGTCATACAACTCAGACTCCTACTTATATCATATGCAGCAACTTGAAAATCATTACTTTTTATTAATACCCAATATATTGACTTTTTCATATTCGACCACGATGACTTATAACTCGGCTACCTATTTTAATAACTCACTGAAATAATATATCGCATAAGAAAATAGTTTTGCTCATCAACAAGGATGAAAGAAACAAAAAAACAGATTTTATTTTTCATATTGGTGTAGTAAACATTAAGCTTGTATTCAAAGATTTGACTTACTTTGTTTGCAATGATATTTGATACTCCTTATACTCACATCAATTAACTTTTTTGATATACAAAACTATTAATAATGTAAAAATAAGCAACTTCATTTTCTTACAAAGCAGCTATATTCCTGGAAAAGCATTAAAAAAAAGTAGAACTTTTGATTTTCGGCGGTTTCTGGTCCGTTCATTATTTCAAACATTCACACAAGGACATCAAGACATGCGACATCTATATAACACTCAACCCAAACCCTAATATTTCTCCTTCCCTCTTCTCATCCTAAATCTATCTATAACAAAGATAGCTAATAAGTGATTCCATGTGAATAATCAATCAATTAATTTATCTAAGAAGTAATTCAAGTTAATCGAGATGAATAATAGGAGAGAATCATGGGAAGAAGAGGGAAAAGAAGATGAGAATTTGTTTCCAGTGTATTCTGAAAGGTCGCAGCAAGATATGTCAGCCATAGTTTCTGCACTGACACAAGTCATGGGAGGCAACAACAACAATGAACTTCAAGAAGCTTCTTCAATCCATAATATTAATGAGCAATCTCAACAACCACAACAAGATCAAGGTAGTTAAGTGCCTTATTACGATTAATCGCTTATTTATTATCGTTCTAGTGCTAAATATATAAACTAATATTGTGCTTCTAGGGTTTTGAAAGCTTAAAACTAACATATATAACAACTATCTTAATAATACTCAACTATGAAAAATGTGTATGTATATTGATGTATTGATATGAAGGGAGTGAAAGAAAGAGACACTATAGAGGAGTGAGGCAGAGGCCATGGGGAAAATGGGCTGCAGAGATTCGCGATCCGAGGAAGGCGGCAAGAGTATGGCTTGGAACCTTTGAAACTGCTGAGGCTGCAGCTGTTGCCTATGATGAAGCTGCACTCAGATTCAAAGGAAGCAAAGCTAAGCTCAATTTTCCTGAAAGAGTTCAAAGTTCAGCAGAATTTGGATTTCATCATTTAGTTTCATCCACGAATAACCAGCAACAGTCTAACTCAGTTCCTCTTCCACACTTTTCTCAAGAAGCATATTCTAATCCCTATCAATATGCTGCTGCACAAGCACAACTTCAAGGTGGTGGTGGCAGTAGCAACATGAATCAGGATATGCTTCGGTATTATGGGGGAGACATGTATGTTTCTAATCCTCAGCACTTATCAACTGCATCTTCGTCTTCGTCTTCATCTTCTGGATTATCTCAGCAGCAACAAGAGTTTCTGAGATTGTCGATGCAATTTGGAGGCTCTTCTTCTGCTTCTCAGCCTCCAAGGAACTGGAGGGATGACATGGATGGAAGACACTAAAGGACTTTTATTTCTTGTTTGTCACAACATTTTATGATTTTATTGAGTTTGATTTTGTAAGGCTGATTATACTTTTGAATTTTTTTGAGTTTTATGTATTGTTTATGTTGTTGATGAAATGCTTGTTTTAACTTTAAGCATATTGGTTGGTTTCATACGACTTTTTACATACATATATAAGTTTTTCGTTTCATATTATATCTATCTATATATCTATCTATGTATTTCAGCGAACACGAATGAGATTATAATGATATTAAATATTAGAATTGACTTGGGAGAGTAAACCATTCACCTGAAAAGGAACAGAAGCAGGTTTGAACATATTTATGAAGATAAGGTTTTAATAAGATGGCAAAAACGCGTTGTAATGTTGGCTTTAGTTGATCACTATAATGTCGCCTTTGATTCATCAAAAAAAGATAGAAACAATTCAACAAGACACTGACACTCTCCTTAATAATTGCTTGCGTTTTAAAATTGATCTATTGATTCAGTAACTTACGAGTAACCTTATATTTTCCCTCTTAATCTCTGTTAGTTTCTTCTTAGAGGCAATCTTTTTTTCTGTAAGAGTCTAGGGCAAACCTCTTATTTGGATACTCTACTTGCTCTTATTAAAGAGAAGGAGAAAGTGATGTAGATGATGTTGAAATTAATTTAATAATTAATTTATAAGCATGTTTAAATACAAAATATGAACAATAAAATTATAATCATAAGACAAAAGTTAAATAAATATATGAACATGCACAGAAACAACTTTAAATTTTCAACATATTAAACTATTAAAAATTATAGAAATAAAATGGTTTTCTAGATAATTATTAAAGAGGAGGAGAAGAAATAATATTCTTGTTATAACGGAGTTTATGTTCAGAAGTTTGGGAAAGTCGGAAGCATCAATGTGATTATTATTCTAGGATTACAAGAAAAAGACGTCACATCTAAATTTAAAATCTTAAGAGGTTAGATAAATGAGTTCTTGTTTATAAACTCAATATTCCATCCATTTATAAACGATACAACTTTTGAAAAGTCCGAGAAAGACGGAAGCATCTACGGAATCAATGCTACAAGATCACAAGAGATGGAGATACTACATTTCAATCCAAAATCTTAAAGTAATAGAGATAAATAAATTCTCTTATAAATCTAACATTTCACTCATTTATAGACTACGTGAGACTTTAACCACTCAAATTTGCATCTATTTATAAAAGATAAGGAATTTAGTTGTTTGAACAATGTGAGGCATTAACCACTCAATCTATTTCTACGAAGATTAAAGTATTTGATTGAAGAGTTTGTTTGGAGTTAGCGAGAAAACTATTTTGGGACTTGTTCCAATTTTGCCAAGAAGGTAAGGAAGAACATGTTTGATTTGGTGGGTCGTTCTTTGAGGATTTTAGAATCATAGAAATGCTATTCTTTTTTAAGGACAACTTTATAATGTGAATAGTTTAGTGTGGTATATTAAGTTTTTAAGTTGAAAATGACATTTATTAGGAGAAATGCTTAAGTCCAACTTTAATTTTTATAACTTTTGCGTAGCTCGCCGCTTTTTTTGTTATAGTTTAGCATTTCTATTTTTGTATCTTGGGTTCGAGGATCCATTGTCCTCTATTATTGATATCTCTTGTTTGTAAAAAAAAATATATTTAAATATTTATTTATTTTATATGTGAATATTTATTAAACTCTCCGTCTTATATTGATGACTAATTTTATTTCAGGATGTTTGTTGATGTAGATTTATTTGCTAATCATATTTAAAACTTTGTTGAATAATTTAGAGAAAAAAAAGAGGATTTCGAATGGGGAAGAGGATAGGAAAAAAATAAAAAATGTTTCAATCTTTTAAAAATAAATTTTTTGTATAAAAAAATAAATGAACATTTATTTTAATATATTTTAAATATTTAAATTATTATAACAATATAATTGGATTTATAAAATTTATCTACATCATTCAAAACTTTTTCTCATAATTGTTTTTTGTTTATTTTCATAAACTAAAATAATTTAGTATTATAACGAAAATAAATTCTCTAAATTCTTCTTTCAAATTATTCAATTTTTTTCACCCATTTTTTTTTCAAAATCTATTCCCGTCTTTTTATTTTATTTCATTTATTTATTTCAAAAACTCAAACAAAACTTTAATGTTCCTTGTACAAAACATGTAAATTAAAAATTGAATTAATATTGATATCTATTTTAAAAAATTTATATGAAATTTAAGATTCTTATGTTTTTTTGTTACTTCATTAATTGTTTAATTAAGTAATGTAATGGTTTTTCAAACAATGGGCATCATTACACCATCCATCATTCTTTACTAGTACAAGAGTACTTTTTCTTTCATAAGACTTATTTTATAGAAAAATTTTATCATTAAAAAATGCACTTTATAGTTTATATTAGTTAAGATGAAGTTTAACTAATTAAGTATCACTTGGAATAAAAATAAATAAATATTTAAATTTGTTCAGTATGTTTTTGTGAATATTGCTACTCTTTAATGAATTATTAGGTTGTCATCATTATTTTTTGTATCTAAATGTGAACAATATACATACGAAAAATATTTTAATTTGTTATATTTGATTACTTGTTATTAATTAATTGATTAGTTGAAACTTGCAATGCAAGAGAAGTTGGAACCGGCACCGCCCCAATTGCTTCAGTGAGAGCGCACGAGTATCATAAGTACAAGAAATCACAGTGTTCAAACTAAGAGTACTTTAGAAGCTCGAGTGGTAATGGACTAATGGTTCACATCATACGGTACTTCCCACACACGTGTTGTGTAACGCCTAATAGAGATATAGATATGCGGTAAAGTTAGAAAGTTTCAAGTGAGTCCAAGTTAATTAAAATACAAAAATAAAATATAGCTATCTTAAATAAATTTATAAAAATTGTAACCGTTGTGTATTATGTCTTTTGGAACATAAACATAATTACTATTAAAGTATTATTGAGAACTTTATCATGTAATTGGAATTTATATTAGTCTCGAGTACACTTTTTGGTATTTGAATGTTGATCGGAGATTTTAATGACATAATTTATCTAAGTGAACAAAAATGAAGTAATTTTAATCATTCTAGGGCAGCTGCTTTGTTGAATGTCATTGATAATATAATTTAGTTGAAGTATATATGATTGGTGGGAAACTCCCCTGGAATAGACTTTGTACTGGTAATCTAATGGTCTATCGAAAGCTTGATAGGGTCCTAGTTGACGTTGCATGGCGCATGACCTTCCTTGACGCATATGTTCAGGTGTTGTGTAAATTTTATTCTGACCACAACCTCATTCTCCTTAGGCGTGGCCTTCCCCTCCAAGACTACGAGTCGTGCCTTATTAGGTTTGATGCAGCTTGAATCACTCACCCGAAATACTCCAATATAGTCAAGACTGATTGGGGGAAATTTCCATATGACATTGTAACTTGTCTCCAAAGTGTGTAGCACGATTCTATCCATTTTAATAAGGAAACTTTTGGCAATATCAACAAACAGAAGGATAACATTGAGAAGAGACTCAGAGGTATCCGATGCTCTTTTGAGAGAATAGATTTGACGATACTAGTTTATCTCCTACAGGAGTATGATGAGATCCTTACGCAAAAGGAGGTTCATTGCTATCAAAAGGCTATAGATGATTGGATTAAATTGGGAGATCGTAACACCAAATTTTTTCACACCAAGACAATAATCAGATGGAAGAGAAATAAAATCCATGACCTTGATCTTCCCAATGGTGTTTGGTGCAATGATGTCACTATTCTCAGGGAAGAAGCATTGACTTTCTTTAAAATTATTTTTTGCCCTACATCTCCTATAATCTCTGCTAGTATGGGTGACTCAACTATGACTCTGATCCTTACGGAAAAAGCCCAACACTCTTTGACTCAACAGGTGGCGAGGGAATAAGTTACTTATGTGTTGAATCAAATGCGCCCTTTTAAGACGCCTGTCCCTAATGGATTCAAGGGTATTTTCTTTAAACAATTTTCGCATATAGTTGGAGATGACGTTGTCCAACTTATATTAGATGTTTTTATGACATGTAGCTTTCACTTATCTCTTTCAAGACTTTTATCACATTAATTCCTAAGGTAGAACGCCCCCTGAATTTTAAGAAATTTAGACCCATCAGTTTGTGCAACACTATTTACAAGTTTATTACGAAGATTATGGTTAAGAGGTTGCATCATTATCTAAATCAGATAGTTAGACCCTTCCAGAGTAGTTTTTTTTCCTGGTAAAGGAACAACTGACAATGCCATTATCCTCCAAGAAATAATTTATTCTATGCATAAATCTAAAAAGAAAAAAGTTGACACAATGTTCAAAATAGATCTTGAAACAGGTTTCCTCCCATAACTATAGAGTTGATTATGTACTATGTAACTAGCTCCTCAATGTCTATTCTTTGGAATGGGAGACGACTAGTAAATTTTGTTCTGACTAGAGGATTATGGCAAAGTGACCCCCTTTCACCCCATCTCTTCTTTATTTGTATGGAATAATTGTCCCAAATAATCATCAAGGAAGTCAATGAAGGCCATTGGAAACCTTACGGGTTACCTCATAACTTACCCACTCTATCGCATTAATTTTTTGCGTATGATGTTTTTCTTTTTACGAAGGTTTCTAAATCCTAGGCAGAGACCTTTTTTGATATCTTGAATCGTCTTGCCATGTCTTCTGGCCTTGAAGTGAATGTTGCTAAATCAAAGGTGTTCTTCTCAGGTAACACCAAGAGGACTAAAATGGATTCAATTGTCTCCAACACAAGTATCAAGCGAACTTTTAGTCTAGAGAAATACTTGGGTTTCCCTATGTTGCATGATTGTCTTCAGCGCAAGGACTTTGAGTTTTTAGAGGAAAAAATCAGCTAAAGTTTAGCATCTTGGCAACATAAATTGTTAAACAAAGCTGGTCGTTTGACTCTGGTTAGGTCTATTCTAAACTCCATCCTAAATT